ATCTACTTACTAATCTAACTGTGAAATAGATCTCTGGTCTTATATACATCATCGCATACATTAAACTACCAATAGTGCTAATGTAAGGAACTCTTTTCACTTTCTTCTTATCTAACTTTGTTTTGGGGCATATATCAAGACTCACTGTTACTCCTGTAACCACTGGAGTGTCTAAGGGATTGCAATTTTTCATATTGAACTGATCGAGGATTTTCTTGATGTAATTCTCTTGTGAAAGGGAGAGAATTCTTTTTGAGCGATCTCTTTGGATTTTAACTTCAAGAATGTACTCTGCTTCTTCCATATCCTTCATTTCAAAGTTTGATGATAGCTATTTCTTAATAGCTATTATCGAATTTACATTATTTTTAGCCAATAGTATATCATCTACATATAAGGATAATATCACAAAATTACCGTCAACTTGCTTTATGTAGACACAGTGATCTTCTTTAATCATTTTAAAGTCATTAAGGTTATATCTCTGTGAAACCTCAAATGCCATTATTTGGATGACTGTTTTAATCCACAAATAGATCTTTTTAATTTACGAACTTTGCTTTCCATTCTTTTCTTAATGAAACCTATAGGCTGTTGTATATAGATTTTTTCATCTAGATCACCATTTAGGAAAGCCGTTTTACGTCTGTTTGATGTAATTTTAAGTCCAAACTGTTTATTATTGACAGAATAACTCTTATTGAATTAAAATGAACAACAGGTGAGAAGGTATCCTCATAATTTATACCTTTTTGTTGTGTGTACTCCTTTGCTACTAATTGAGCCTTGTATTTATCAATTAATCCATCCACTTTTCTCTTTATCTTAAGAACCTATTTGTTCCTAATAGCTTTTTGGCCTTATGGTAGATCAACCAATTCCCTAACCTGGTTCTTCTTCATTAAGTCCATTTCTTCTTCCATTGTTTTCTTCTACTTATCACCAGTAAGACTTGATAAGGCCTCTTGTACAGAACGTGACTCATCGCCTCTCTCTAGAGTAACCATGAGTGCTTCACCTTTAATTAGGAAGCATCTCTTAGAGAGATTTTTCCTTTCACTTCTTCTTACAGGAGCAGGTTGTTTGTCTTGCTTCTTCTGTTTTGGTCTTTGTGTTGACCCTTCCATGCTCCTACTCATACTAACGTATCAAGATGATTGAGGGTCACTTGTTTGTTTCGTATCGCCTTATTCTTGTGTCTCATAAAGAGATACAGTACAATGTACTTCTCCCTTGCTGGGAAACTCATTTTCAAGAAATGTTTTATCTCTTGATTCAACTTCAGTAATAGTTTCATCTTCATTTTCTTTAATGAAAACATATCCTTTTGATTGTTCTGAGTATCTTATAAAGATACATTTCTTTCCTCTTGAACCTAACTGCCATTACTTATAAGAATCATTGTGGATATATGCAGCCAACCCCTATGGTCTCAGGATACTAAGATCCTATTTACATTTTGTCTACAACTCATAAGGTATGGAGTAAACTGATTTTGAAGTCATACGGTTAAGTATGAAAGCAACTGTCAACAAAGCATTATCCCAAAATAAAATTGGGAGGTTCACTTGAGCCATTATTGATCTAACCATGTCTTAGAGTATTCTATTTCTCCTTTCAGTAACCCCATTTTGTTGTGAAGTGCCAGAAATTCTTAATTGTCTTATTATTCTTTTTTCTTCATAGAGTTCTTTGAATTGATCTGACAAGTATTCACGACTTTGATCAATTCATAACGTTTTAATTTTATTGTCTATTTGATTTTCTACTTCATTCATATATCATCTAAAGCATTCAAGAGTCTCAGACTTATGTGAGATCAAATAGATATAACTATATCATGAATAGTCATCAATAAAGGTAATAAAGTACCATGCTCCATGCCTCGCCCTTACACTTATGGGACCGTATATATCAGAGTGAATTAATTGTAATGTATTATCAGCTCTAGTTCCCTTACCGAAAGGTTTTTTAGTTGCTTCTCCAGCTAAACAATACTCACACAAGGATATTTCTGTATTAGTGATTTCACCTAGCAAACCCTCTTTAGCTAGTTTAATTATTCTATTTTGATTTATATGTCCTAGTCTAGCATGTTAGGTATTCATATCAACACTACTGGAAGAAGTAGCAAAACAGTTATGTGTATTAAAATCACAAATAATATCCATGATAAAGAACTTCTTAGAAAGAAAAGCTAAACCATAAAAGTCAAATTAAAAAATATGTCTGCAAGCTTGCCATGAAAGTTAACATTAAAACCATGTTCTAGAAGGCATAAAACAAAAACTAAATTTTGTCGGTTGTCAGGAGCATGGAGGACATCATGTAGGACCAAGGTTTTTACAGCACGTAAAGCCAATTTACAAGTGCCAATGCTTTTCACCTTGATCCTTGCATTGTTTCCCACATATAGCCACTTACTTAGATATGGCAACCGATGGTATTCCATAAGGGATCGTCGATCCCTTGTTACATAGTCTATTGATCTTGAGTCCAAAATCCAAGAAAAACAAACAAATTCGGTTAGAGGAGTGCCTAAAACATAGGAAATATGTGAATTCACATAATTTACTAATACCTTTTCCTGTTCATTTCACTCGGTGCAATCTCGTACAAAATGGTCTATGTTCTAGCAGGCATAACATTTAACCTTTTTAGGTCAAGTTTCTTTTTCTTGTCTCTATTGTTGCCTTTCTTCTTGAACTGTTTCTTATTCTTTTTGAATTTTGAGTCGTCTTTCTTTCGCTTTTTGTATAACTTCTTGCCCTTCTTGGAATCAAGTTTTATGTTAAAAGGTCATGCACCCTCAATATAATAGGCCTGGCTAGAAGATTTGTATGCCTCTAAGTGCTCATCTTCTAGTTCAAGATGTTTGGCCATATCATTAAAAGTGACAATATTCTCATTATGGGTGAGGTTATCTTTCATGTGTTCCTAGCTAGAAGGAAGCAACCTTATCACAACTTGAACTTGCTGTTTATCGGTCAAAGTATACCCACTCTCTTTAGTTCCTTTATCATGTTGGACATCTTCTTTAGGTGTTGTTTCATGGGAGTGTTCGCCTTAAACTTATAGGTATCGAATTTCATCGTTAACCTTCTAAACTTAGTCAAGGACATCCCTCCAAACTTGTCCGTTAGAGCTGTAAATGTGGCTTGAGCAGTATCGAACTTTTTGAACTCACATCAGATCGCCAGCTATGGTGCTCAATAAAGTGATTCTAGCAATATTGTTTTTCTTCTTCCAGGCTTAGAAGAGCTCTTGATCTCTTTTATACTAAGCCATATTCTCGGCTTTAGGTTCCTTCATCAGAACAGTTAAGGGCTTTAAGGCCTCGTATTCCTCTAAAATGTATTGCACCTTTCGATACTAGATATCCCAATTATCCTTGTTAAGTTTTTCCCCATTATTCAGTTTAGCTATGATGTTTTTGGTTGCCATTTTCAATTTTGTGACAAAGTTATTCCACATTAAAAAATTGTTCCCCATACGAGAACCAAAAAAATAAAGGAGATTTAACTAATTATATAGTATTAATATAGTATACAATGTTTTGTACTTATATTATTCCTGATAGGCAAATAATGACAACACTAGGTCTATGATAAGTCCTATTATTTGCATATAATTCTAGAGCCTAAACTTATGCTTTTGTCATTCATAATTGCATATTTTGGGTATAATTAGCATTTATTGTGCATAAGAGTTAGTGAATGATATTATGAGATTTTATGTGTTTTTATATGTTTTGTGTGATTATGTGTGTGTGTGCGCTTTTGATCCCTTGGCTGGTATGTATTGCAAGTAGTTTTATCAACATCGTGCCATTTTATGTTCAAGTGCCACGGCACATGTTTATCTTCGCCATGGCGATCACATATGATAGAGGGGCGCAAATCACTTATCCTAACTGTGTCGTTTTGGCTTTGCCGCAACGCAATATTCTCTTTGTCGTGGTAAAAGGACCGAAATTTTCTAGATTTAAACCATATCGAGCGCGTTCGGCCATAATTATTCCGTTATCATCCCATTTTCTATTCTTTTCATCTAGATAGCATTATCTCCATCCTCTCCACTATCCATTCGGCCCATCTACTATTCCACATCATTTCTAACTTCATTCCATCAATTTCCACTGATCATTCTTCTCCTTCCATCATTTGATCCAAATCCATCTTTAATTCAGTGTTCAATGACCAAAGGAAGACCAGGAGCTCGGTGTAGCTGTTTTCTAGTCATGAGCAGTGGAATTCATCCACCCCTTGATGATTGATGAAGCTATTATGAGTTTCTAGAGCCTAAAGGAAGCTTAATTATGTTTAATTTCAGTTTCTACTCTTTATATATATTAATTGTAGTTCAATTGATATATGTATTAAGGATTGGTGCTGGTATGCCTGATGTAGACTTTGATTACTTGTATTGGATTTACCTTTAGTAGATAATCAATTATCTTATAGTCCTTTTATCTATTGTAATTGATTGTTCATGTTCTTGAAGCTTTCAATTGAATATGCTAGGTGTCTAGGTTTGGTTGAGAGCTAAAGAACCTCTGTGAATCCAATATAAGCTAAGTCCTAAGACACTTTATCTAATTAACCAGTTAGGTGGCTAAAAATGTCAATTAGGTACTAAGAGTATTGGCTTAGTGAGATGTAATGGAACTTAACACAAGTGAAACAAGGAAGTGTAGCTAAGTCAACCATCAAGGAGATTCACTACATCTATCATTTATTCCATCATAAAATCAAAAAATTATAAACAATAGTTATCAATTCTTAGTTTAGGATAGTTGATTCAATTCTGCCACTTTCCTTGGTTAATTTGTAATTAACATCTACTTAGCTAGTAGTTTGTAATCAGCTCCTCAAAGAGATCGACACTTAGGTTAGTTGTCCTATAATTTAATTAGCTTAATTATTGTTTTGAGAGCCTTGCAACACGATTCATCAATCTACGATCAAGAGCATACCATCACATAGATTCTCGCATCATCATTAGATTTTATCAAGAATTTTAAATATAAGCACCTTATAATAAACATAACTTTTAGAAAACTTATCTTGTAAAAGCTCTCACATAAGAAAGACATATCACTAAACACCAAAACATTAAAAAAAATTTACAAGTCAAGTCATAACATTGAAAATATTACAAAGAACTTTGTGTTTTCATAAAGAAACCATAAAAAAGGAACATCGCCAAAAAAAAACAAATGTTTGTACAAAAATTGATGAGAGCTTCTCTAAGTTTGGGCGTTTTGATGTGGTTGTTAACCACTACATTTACAATGCAAACCAAAGTGTCCTTTAGTTCCTCTTTCTTTTTGGCTCTAACCTCTTCATGAAATATCATCATGACGTTAGCATAGAAGTTAATGCTTTCATTGTTGTACATCTTATAACATATTCCCTCCGTTCCTTATTATAAGAGACATTTGATGCTTATGGCATGTTCCTATATATAAGAGACACTTAAAAGTTGTCTCTACTTTTTTGTGTTGATTTCTTATTTTACCCATATTTATTGCCTCCAACTCACACTCTCTCTCCTTCCCACTTCTCTTTCTTTTAATAATTTACCATTGTTCTCTCTCATGTTCTCTTTCCTTATTAATGAGGGCATTTTTGGGAAAAAAAATTATACTTTTTACATATTAATTGTTCTTAACTAATTTTAACTGTTTTTTTTATCAACGTAATTTGGTTATTCGTCTCTTATAATAAGGAACGGAGGGAGTATCTTTTAAGAACTCCATTTATGTCTTTGACAATTTTAATATTTCTTGCATCATACTTCGCTATCCTTCTTCCCATAGCGAGGTTTAGTAATTGATTTACTTCATCCTCTTTAAGAGGCCCATAAGAATAGAAAGTTTCAGACTTTGGTCCAAAATCTGTATAAACTTCTTAGAGTTCTTGTTGAGGTTCCACAGGACCATGCTCAAGAAGATTATCTTCCTCAGGATCTGGATCCATCTCAGGGTCCTCATCAATGTCTATTTCTGGATCTTCCTCAGAATCTATCCCCAGATCCTCTTTAGGATCCATCTCTAGGTCCTTCTTAGGGTCCATCTTTAGCTCCTTTTTAGAGTCTTCACTTAACGGTTCATATTGCGGAAGCTCATCATCCATGTATTCTATGCTAAACAAACCATAAGAATGAGTTTCAGTGTCTAACAAAGCCTCTTGCTTCATTTTTACCTAGAATAAAAATAATTTCAAATTAAAATTTAATTTTAAGAATTTTCAAAATCATAAAATCAATAAAAAACACTAAAAACTCACAAATAAATCCCAAATTGCTGTTACAAATAGGCAAATTATATATTATAATCAAGCTTATGAATTTAGGAATTTTTAGAGACAAACTACACCTTAAATGGACATATCACTTGCCTACACGCACGTTGAGAAGAATAAATCCTAAAAATAGAAAAAAGTTGGTGACCCCTACTCTCAATATTGGCGCGTGATGTTCACACGCTGCTGTGTAAGTCGCCAACGGCGACACACACTGCACCATCTGCCTCTATGTGCCACTAGGTGGCGGTATACACATGTAGAACATATTTGCCACGCGGCATCACGGGCCACGTGGCATTTTGGCCCCTTTTTTCTTTTTTTAAATTTATTTTATTTTATACATACCTTTTTTTTTTACTAGAACTATTATTGGGCCTAAAAATATGGGCTTTTGAAATTTTTTTAATGAAACTGGACTTACTTCCTCTTTTTTTAAAAAGAAAAATGCTAAGGGACCAAAAACAGCGTCGTTTTGAGCATTGTTTATCACTGTCAACCTCCAGTCGGGTCAACCCAACCTGGTTGGCGTGATAGGTTGAGTCCGTTGGACTCGAAATTTCAATCCGCTATGTATTTATTGTCCGAACTCCAATTTTCATGTTCTTAGTGTCATTTTCTTTTTTTTTTTTCTGAGCTCTACGCAATGGGATAATTTTTTGAGCCTAAAAAACATGATTTTGAAGACAGCCAAAAAACGCAAAGACTTAACCACCCAAAAAGGTTCTTACAGATTATGAGTTTCATGCCTCCAAACCTATGTGTTTATCTTTTTTTGGATGTTTTCAATTAATTCCTTGTGTCTCTTGTGCAGATTACTAATATATAATAAGAGGAAACAAACATCTCTGAAAACTGGAAGAAAGAAAAAAAAAAATACATGTTCATGGAAGCAGCTAAAAACAAGAAAGAAAACACATATGTATTTAAACTCACACAAGTATAATTCACCGTTGATAATTATACTGGAAAAAAAGAAGAGATAGGATTTGCATAATGTTTGGGAGCAAATCACATTTACGGGATAGAATTGGACCTAAAAAGATAAACCAGAAAACACAACATAAACAATGCAGAAGAAGTAACAACACAGGCGGCAGGAAAAGATGTAAAGCTCTGATACCATTGTGAGAATCTGACATACCTAGAATGTAGATCAATATTTTCGGTGTCCACACAGAATTCGATCACATAGATGGAGTCGGATTTTTGTTATACAACAAGTATACTTTTGAAGAGAGAATGAGAGAATAGGGAGAGAGGAGAGTTGCAGAGGGAAAATTTTTTAAGTCTGTGAAGAGTATTTCACGCCCATGTATACATCATGTTTTATTTAGTTTTCCTCTTAAAAACTGAACACAAAATCGTTCCCTCTAAAAGACAAAGGATTTTTTGCAAGTAGCAACCCTTAGTCTTTAGTTTATTTTATTTTTTACCCTAAATCCTATGGACTTGGGCCTCATCCACCAAAGGTGGATCAGGCTAAGTCCAACACATGTAATTTCTCTTTTGGTGCCTAACATAGAAAGAGTCTGGTAAGCAAAAGAATTATGATCATCTTTCAAGACCTGGGTTTAGAAAATATAGGTACTATGAATTGAAAGAAGCAACAAGAGGTTTTAGTGAAGAGATTGGAAGGGGTGCTGGAGGAATTGTATACAAGTGTATGCTAAACGATGGGTGAGTTGCTGCAATTAAGAGACTCAACGAAGCAAACCAAATAGAAAGTGAGTTTCTTGCAGAAGTTAACTTGATAGGAAAGCCTAACCACATGAACTTGATTGACATGTGGGGCTTTTGTGCAGAAGGAATATACAGAATGTTGGTATATGAGTTCATGGAAAACGGTTGGTTAGCAGAAAACCTTGAATCCAACAAGTCACTTGATTGGAGAAAAAGGTATAAAATCGCTATTGGAATAGAAAGACGACTTGCATATCTCCATGAAGAGTGCTTGGAGTGGGTTCTGCATTGTGACATAAAACCCCAAAACATACTCTTCGATTCGGATTATAAGCCCAAGGTTGCATTTGGACTGTCATGGTTGGAAAACTGAAACGACCTCAACAATCCAAGCTTCTCAAGGATAAGAGGAACAAGTGGTTATATGGCGCCAGAGTGGGTTTTCAATCTACCAATAACATCCAAGGTTGATGTTCACAGCTACGGAATTGTGGTATTGGAGATGATAACTGGAAAATGCTTGGGGGTGGATGGACCAGATCACTCACATTAGGGGAGGATAGTGAGATGGGTGAGGGACAAGATGAACAAAGGAGAAGAAACGGCATGGGTAGAACAAATCATTGACCCAACGGTTGAGGGAGGCTTTGACATAAAGACAATGAAGGTTTTGGCTACAGTAGCATTGCAGTGTGTTCTGGAAGACGGTCGCCGGACCTTCAATGAGTTGCGTTGTGAAGATGCTTCACAGTCAAGAGATTGAGTATTGATTTTTAGTTTTGAGCGATATGCACATAATTTTTTTTTTTATTGTTTTGGTTATTTTTTCTTTTTGTGTTTACGCTTTTGCTTTTAGAAATCTTGCTGATTTTTTTTTTTAATCTATTAGGCGCAAGGATGATTTATATGTAAAGAAGAATTGCAATAAAGTCATAAAAAATATAATTACTATAAAATCTTAATCACAACTGAACAACTTGTAATAAGTTTTAAAGCAAGAATTGACGACTGAGCTGTAACATACTATATTTTTTTTAAAAAAAAGAAAAATTAAAAATTTTGTAATTTAAAAAAATTTTAAATAAACATATATTTATTATTATTAATTTAATTAAATATTTAAAAAAAACCGCCTTTTATAAAGAAGAAGAATTTGGGGAAAGGTGGTTAGAAGGAGATAAATGAGAGGAGAGGGTTGAAAAAAAAATAATGGAAGACAACGTTAAATACCTTGGAGATGCAGAGTAAGAGAAAGTGAGTGAGGCAAGGCAAGAGAGAGCAAGCAAGTGGATGAGAGTTGGAGGGTAGGTGGTGCTTGAAAGACATTATACAAGGATCATTTAGGTACACAATAATAATTTTTTTTTATCAAATATTTTTTATGAATATTTTCTATATATTTAGGGTTTTATATTGTAGTATTATTATAATGTTTAAAAAAATTTTTACAGTTTGGATATAGAGTAATGAATTTTGATGACATATAACCATAAAAATTTAAAGATGCATTATTAATAAATTTTAATCGATTTATATTTTTTTTATTGTTTGTTTTGAAAATTTTAAATTAAAATTTTAGTTGAAAAATTTATTATTCAAAGACATATAGAATGTTTTTACCTATTAAATTTAAGTTAAATAACTTATTATTATTATTGAGATTTTAATCGGTCGGACTATTGAATAAGTTAAATATATATTATTAATTGAAATGATTTTTGAAAGCTTGAAGAATTGTAAATTGAGAATTTTATGAAATTAAATAAAAATTAAAGTTTATTTATAATTCAAAGGAGTTGTTTGGGTTGGGAAAAATTTTAAATGAGACTATAATAAATAATTGAGATTTAATATAAAATATTTAGATTTTGGGTAATAAATATATTTATTTTGAGTTATTAAATTTAAATATTGTCTTACATGAAAATTTTATTCCCAAATAATATTGTATCTATTATAAATAGTTCGATATGTGAGAGTTAATATTTTAGTTTAAAGGGTAGTTTTAGAATTTTAGAATAGTTTTGAGTTTATATCAATAAATTTTATGTGCAATTTTGTAGACTTATATAAATTTTAGAGTAATCATTGTGTGATTATGTATAAATTAAAGAGTAACAGGTAACTCTGAAAATTCTTTCATATAGATATGAATTGTGTATAATTATATTATGGATTTACTAGTTTTTTTATTATATCATATTGAAATATATGTATATATCATAAGTTTTCAAATAAATATTTTAATATATTAATTTATTTTGTTAAGAGTTCTTGCTATTAATTATAATCAATATTTAAATATATTGATAGTTATTGAATTATAATGAATTGTACTATTAATTTGTATTAGAATTTTATTTGTTCTCTTATTTAGAGTAAAAAATAGCATTTTTGCGGAGGCATTTATGTTATATGACATATGCATTATTGGACTAAGGATAGAAAGAGATATGTTTGTTGTACAATTACCAGGTGGTATGCCATTATTTAGTACACAGTGAATGGCACTTGTCAGAGCCCCTAGCTTCTTTCATTTTTTTTTTTGAAGGGAATTCATTAGAGCTATAAGACATGTGACACTTCTTCTTTTTTTTTTCCAAAGGGGGGAGCCATAATCCGAACTTGAACTCTATATATTTGGCCGGATATATCTCCAGTTTTAGTGAGCTTGGAACAATCCAGTAAAATGGATTAGTTTCTATATGTGTTAGCTTATAACTCTAATCAGTGATATAAGGATGGACGGTGATATAACAGAGGTTATATATTGTATTATTTTTTGATACAATGGAAACTGAGATTTTTATGTATTTAAATTAAGAGTAAATTTAGGTTGAATGTAAAAATTCGTGATCTCCATTACACACACACACACACATGATCTGCTTTTTGTTTGTTATATATGGTTTGCCTGTATAGGTTAGAATTTCAATAGTTACTGAAAAGTTAAATCTCATCTTTTATATCAACATTTTTCAGGTGAAAAATCTAATAGAAATCAAGGGAAAGTATTAATGGAGTGAGCCGTGAAGGCTTTTATGCTCTCTAAACACATGCTATATTATATTTTTATCATGAATATAAGACTTTAATGGTCTATTTTATTAAGTTATGTCACGAAAATATTTTAAAATTATCACATGTTTTGAATGTTAGAAATACATGTAGACCTTTAAATAAAATATTTTTATCACATATATAGTTATAATTATGTGAGGTGGTATATGAGCAACTCGTCACTTAATATTAAGACTTTTTGACATTTAGCTTTTTATAGTTGCGTTTGGTAGAAGGTATTAAAAATTAGGGATAGGAATTGAGAGTGGGATTGAGAAAATCTATTAAAAGAGTGTTTAACATAAGAAATTGTTTGTTATATGGAATTGGCCAAATCTATGTACGTGGGATTGGAGAATACCATAGGGGAAAGTGGTATTCTCCAATCCTACCTTTATGTATTTACCTAATCCTATATAACAAGTAATTACTCATGTTAAATACTATTTTTATGATTTTTTTTTCAATTGTAATCATAATTTCTATCCCTTATTTTTAATACTTTTTACCAAACAGGACATATGCGACTCTATTATTGCAATTCCCCTATGGAAAGCTACTTCAAAATCACGAGATATTGACTGCAAATAAGTCTAGTCTTTCTCGGTTGGAGATGATCGGTATATATTTCATTTTAATAAATTGGTTTTAAAGCCCTGGGCCCTACAGATAAGGCTAAAGTCTCCTTTCCCACGTAGATGGTGTCACCTTCATCATTTCGGAGTGTTATGATTTAGCTGAATAACTAATTATACAAAAATTATATAAGGGTGCTCTAAATTGCTTTTGAAACCATTCACATGAAAAAGATATAATGTTTACCTTAAATTACAGTTTATTATTTTTTCAAATTAAATTTGTTGTGTTTTTTTACTGGGACAGAAATTATTTCTTAACTTGAAAAATTCATAAATGTACCCATATTTTTTATGGCTATTTTAATAAAATTATTAATTAAGTAAAACTGTCAAACATGACCCCAAAAAAAAAATCATCAAGTACAGTGTTTTTGGTTATACTGATGTTTAAAGGAAACATTGCATCATAATTTTATAAAAAAAACAAACTATATAGTGCCTTTTATATTAAAGATTGGAGGTAGTATATATTAATAAGACCTAATAATACTTATTTTCATAAATAAGATCTTTTCCTAAAGTTTCCTTTATAAATAAGTTTAGATAAGCCGTGTGAATAAGAGAACAGTTTCGGTTTCAAGTTTAAGAGAAAGAATCTAAAACTGCTAATATTTATTATAAAGAAACGTAATAATTAAAATTAGAATGAAGGATGAAGGTAAGTTTAATCCAATACTTAAATGTGACAAAAATATATTATTTCACCAAAGACAATTTAATATTTTGAAATTTATGTTTTGATAATGAATCCTTTAAAACAATTACTCCGCGGCCTCTAAATTAGGAGTTAGTTTGAAATTTAGCTTCAGTAATAAATATAAGACTTTAATTTATTTTATCTTTTATTTTATCAATTATTTTCAAACTAATTTGTCTAATTTATAAATTAACATATATATATAATATAATGTTATATAAAATTAATTTATAGAGATTATATCAAGGGAAAAAGACACTAAAATACTCTCAAAATTACTAAATGACAAATGAGGGTATTTGAATTTTAAAATCCCAATTCAGACCCCAGGCATTTTTTTAGAATTTTTAAATCTTGTAAAATTACATAAATGACCTTTACTTTTTTTTTTTTTAAATACTGCCACCTCAGCAATTCTGGCCGCCGGCGACCCTGCCGGCGACCAACCACCAGAGCTCCGGTGACCAGTCATCGAAGCTCCAGTGACCTATCGCCGGAGCTCCGGTGATTACTCTTTCTTATGTATTGACTACTCTTTTTTTAGCTATTGACTACATTTGTTTTTAAACTCTGATGACATGTTACCAGAACTCTAGTGACCAGTCACCAGAGCTCCGGTGACTACTATTTCTTATGTATTGACTACTCTTTTTTAGCTACTGACTACATTTACTTTTAAACTCTGATAACTAATCTTGTTAAGCTACTGACTACTCTAATAATGCGATTTACTACTCTTATGTAGTCAATAGCTATATAAAAGTAGTCACTGAAACTTTGAAAACAAAAGTAGTCAATAGTTAAAATAAAGTAGTCAATAGCTATATGGAAGTAGTCACCGACAGTAAGGATAATGTTGTCATTTTACAAAATTTAAAAATTCCAAAATGGTACCCGGGGCCTGAATTGGGATTTTAAAATTTATGTACCATAATTTGTCATTTAGTAATTTTGAGGGTATTTTACTATTTTTTTCCCTTATGTCAATTTAATTGGGATTAAAAAATTAATTCAATTTTTAATTTATTCAAACTTTTCAAATAGATTTTACATTAATTATAGGAAGAAAAAGATCTTCTATGCTAAATATCAAATCTTCTGACTTTTCCTTATAAATAAGTTATTGGTTAAAGTATATTTTTTATCCTTTAACTTTGTACAAGGTTTTAAGTTGGTCCTTAACTTTAAAAAATATACTTTTAGTCTTTTAACTTTAAAATTGTTTTAAAAAATGATGACATTAAGATCTTAAATATTGATAAAATATTCTCAAATGCTAACATATTAAATTTAATTTTCAAAACATTTATAATTGTTACAAAAAATAATCATTGAATCATAATGATTTTAGGGTTAAAGGACTGAATATATATGCTTTTTGAAGTTAAGGGATCAAATTAAAACCTTATACAAAATTAAAAGACAAAATGTATACTTAGCCTAAGTTATTGCTCATCGTGAGCCGCTTTCTACTGTATTATTACTAATATGATCACTATAAAACATAAATAAATGAATTAGTCAAGCCACGTGAACAGCACAAGCAGCCCATTGCTCCTTTAAAAATTTCGTACACTGAACCAGGATGCCTCCCTCGTGTGAGTACGTTATTATCATCCATTCTTCACGCATCTCATCGGCAACCCTTATCCGTCGATCGCCTTTCCTTTCTTCTATCCTTTTCATATAATAATTCAAGTTGGTCGACAAATAAATATCAAGGGATGCAGAAATAATTGCACAAAGAGAAAGTGGATTCCAACCACGAGCTTTATGACAACTTGCAGAGTCAGGGTCAGTTTCCAGTAAGGCGAGAAATCTGACCACTGTGTCATCGACCAGCTCAATCCGCCACCGCGTTTTTAATTAAAATTCTTGTTAAAACTAAAATGAAATATATGCTAAGCCCCGTCTAGCTCTCTATCTACTTAGCACATGGCGTTTCAGACGAGTTCTTCCCTGCTCATTATCCTCTTCGTCTCGGCTTTGCCTTCACTGTGCTTATCTTCTTCATCGAACAATTTGTTTTCTCTGTCGGTGGAGAATCCAGAACATGTCATCAAATCAAGAAATGGAAATTTCACTGCCGGGTTCTATGACGCGGGTGAGAATGCTTTTGCGTTTTCTATCTGGTTCACCGAACCTCGAGGCCAAAACTTGAGCTTCATTTGGATGGCGAATCGTGATGTATTGGTGAATGGAAAAGGCTCAACGCTCACCCTTCGAAGCAATGGAAATCTGGTGTTGAATGATGCAGGTCAGGTCGATGTTTGGTCCACGAACACAACTTCCTTGAAACCTCCACAATTGATTTTGAAAGATGATGGTAATCTCATTCTCCTTGAGGATTCTAATCATGTTGTGTGGCAAAGTTTTGATTTTCCGACAGATACACTTGTCCCTGGACAGAGGCTTACTAGACATGCCAGCCTTGTCTCCTCCAAAAGTCAGACTGACCCATCTTCTGGTTTTCACAAGTTATTTTTTGATAACGATAATGTTCTTCGACTTGTGTACGATGGACCTGAGCTTTCGAGTATTTACTGGCCACCTCCCTGGTTTCAACCTTGGCAAGTTGGTAGGTCCACCTTCAATGCAAGTCGATTTGTATTCCTCAATTTGGATGGTGAGTTCATTTCAAGTGATAATTTTACTAGTGAGACATCAGACTATGGCCTTGTGCTTCAGAGACGATTGACCATTGATAGTGATGGTAATGTTAGGGTCTATAGTCGAAGACATTGGGGAGAGAAATGGGATGTTTCATGGCAAGCTTTTTCTGCAGGTTGTAACGTTCATGGTGTTTGTGGAGAAAATAGTTTCTGCAAATATGAACCTTATACCGGTCGAACATGCTTATGTCTTCCGGGTTACAAGTTGAAAGACGAAAGCGACTCATCCGTTGGGTGTCAACCAGAGTTCAATTTGTCTTGCAATCCAGAAGATTCTGGCTTCCTACATATACCAAATGGTGATTTCTACGGGTATGACCAAGGGACTTACCTTAATGTTACATTTGATGAATGTAAGAAGGAATGTCTGAAGTTATGTAACTGCAAAGGTTTTCAATATTCACATGATGGTTACCAATTTAAATGTTACCCAAAGACCCTTTTGGTTAACGGCAATCTTTCTCCTGCTTTCGTTGGAGGTTTTCACGTGAGACTCCCTAATTCAAGCTCATTCAGTCTTCAAGAACCCGATATCAAATGTGAAATTGTTAAGGCTATAAAGCTTGAGAGAGTCTATGTCTCAAGGCACGATAGTGTTTTTGTTAAGGTGTTATTGTGGGTAGTGTTAGCAATTGGAGTCTTTGAATTTGCATGCATTTTTCTCTTCTGGTGTCTAACATGGAAAAAGTCTAGCAAGCAGCAAACTTATGATCATCTTACTGGAACTGGGTTTAGAAAATATAGCTACTCTGAGTTGAAGGAAGCAACCAGAGGTTTCAGAGAAGAGATTGGAAGGGGTGCTGGAGGAATTGTATACAAAGGTGTGCTCAAAGATGGACGAGTTGCCGCAATCAAGAGACTGAATGAAGCAAATCAAATAGAAAGCGAATTTCTCGCAGAAGTCAACTTAATAGGAAGGCTTAACCACATGAATTTGATCGATATGTGGGGGTACTGTGCAGAAGGAAAATATAGAATGTTGGTATATGAATACATGGAAAACGGCTCTTTAGCAGAAAACCTTGAATCCAACAAGTCACTTGATTGGCGAAAGAGGTATGAAATCGCTCTAGGAACAGCAAGAGGACTTGCGTATCTTCACGAAGAGTGCTTGGAGTGGGTTCTGCATTGTGACATAAAACCCCAAAACATACTCTTGGATTCGGATTATAAGCCCAAGGTTGCAGATTTTGGACTGTCAAAGCTACAAAACAGAAACGACCTCAACAATCCAAGCTTCTCAAGGATCAGAGGAACAAGGGGTTATATGGCACCAGAGTGGGTTTTCAATCTACCAATAACATCCAAGGTTGATGTCTACAGCTATGGAATTGTGGTATTAGAGATGATAACAGGAAAAAGCTTGAGGGTTGATGGACCAGATCACTCGCATCAAGGGAGGCTAGTGACTTGGGTGAGGGAGAAGAGGAACGAAGGAGACGGAATGGTATCATGGGTGGAACGAATTATGGATCCAACAGTTGAGGGAAGCTTTGACATGAAGACGATGGAGGTTTTAGTTACAGTAGCATTACAATGTGTTGTGGAAGACAGAGATGCAAGACCTTCAATGAGCCGCATAGTGGAGATGTTTCAAAGTCATGAGATTGAGTATTGAGTATGAATAAAATGTGCATAATCTTTTGGGTATTGATTTTGAGTATGAGAAATGACATGTAATAATCTTTTCTTTTAATTATTTATTTTGATTTTTATATTTTTGTCTGGTTTTTTGTCTGTTTTTTTTTTTTTCTGGCTCTGATAAGAAGCGGATGTCTCATTTCGACAAAAGACATAGACGCTAGCCAAATGGTAAATTGACCTTTCATAGCATTTTATGGGTAAATTGACCTCTTCGCAAATTGGTTTTAATCTTATTTACTTGAATTTATTTATTTATTAATATTTTAAATATATTCGTTGTGTAAAAACATCTTTGAGACATACCCACGCATATACATATCAAAATCTTTTACGTGATTATAAAATGAAACAATTTTGATTTGTTTCTATATTTTTTTGTATAAAATTTTTGCAAACCATCAAAAGATATATTAGGAGTATTAGTGCAGTGAGGGATAAATTAATAAATAAAATGTATTCCAACATGATCTTTAATTAAGTGATGTATTTTTAGAATCATCTATGAGTTTTTAACCATAATGTTAATGATTTGGACTAAAATATATATATTTTTATAATAGAAGAGATATCTGTTTAAGATAAAATATAAGACTCATTAAAATATTTTACTAAAAAACATTTTTATTTACTCTTTAGGAAAAAAAATGATTTTTGCGTGTATAATGGTTACGTCGTTATAAGCCTATGGCTGAAAGGGAGAGAATTGTCTTCTCACTCCCTTCCCGTACTTATCAAACTGACATTTCAACGGTTTAAATTTGATTTTTTAATAAAATTATTCTAATGTTATATCATAAAAAAATTGTCACGGTTAAAATATGGTTTAAACTAGTTTAATCTGCAGCGAAAATTAAAGGAATATTTTATAAAAGCTCATTGAAGGTCTTTTAAAAAAAAAAAAAAAAAAAGATGAGCGAAATCTCCCCATAACCAAACTGTTGTTTTTCACTCGGTAAATCCCTTTCTTTATTCTTCGTTTCTTTTTACACGCCAAAAATTTGATCATTTTCTTTTTTCCCCCCCTGTTTTACATAACTGTTTCTTGTTTTTAAAAATGCTAAAATACATATACATTTGTCTTTTTAAAATTTATCTCAAGTTTCAGTTCAATCCTTTAAATTTAAAAAATATTTCTTTAATTCCTCAGCTTTAATATCTTTAATCTCGTTCAATGAAAAATGTCGTCTTAGAAAATTTAAATGGTAATCTTAAAATTTAATGCGGACAAAACATTCATACTTAATTACAAAACATTGTTCCAGGAATCAGCTATCTCTCAAAATGATTTTCTTTCCTTTGTCTTTGGTTGGTCCAACCCCTAGTTAGTGAATATTTGAACAAAGAAGAATGAGATTTTATAGAAAATCTCAGTAGCAATGAATTATAATTATCATGCTAATTATGCTATGTAAAAATGTGACATATTATTATGAAACTAACATTGTCATACAACATTTCATGTGCATTTCATTGCCATGGAAAGAGAGCAACCAATCAAGCCATTAAACCATATCACATTACATTTTGCAAAGACATATTGGACATAGAATTCCACACATAATCACAATTTGCTCTATCACATCATGACGATATAAATCAAATAACACATACACATTTAAACAAACAAGAAAACAATCAAATTATGAGTTCAATACTACCTCTTACTCAAGTTTATTGTTTTCTTGCACAATACCTATCAATCCAAGTATAAACACATTCCATATTACCAATAATCCAAGTATAAACACCATTACTTAACAATAAATTCATATAAACTCCTTTTTCCTTGATTTTTAACATTATTATTTTCCCTTTGCTTTAACCAATCTCTTGGACTATTCCTATACAATTTTTTATGTAGAATCCAAATATCAAATCAGATTTAAAAAAATTACACTTCTTCCCGGCCCCTCAAGTTGCTTTGACCGAATAGTAGGGTTTAGGGATCCAAAATTTTTATTTGATTCCAATTATTTTAAATACCTTATCTTGGTATTTTCCCATTCAAAAATACCTTTTAAACTCATTATACTCATCAAATCATATTGAAACAATCTCTAACTTCAAGAATTCATAGCGACTGAATAGTATGCATAAAACCCTCACTTTGGTTTTCTTCTAAAATTCAATCCAAACATCAATTAAACATGCTATTCCAAGATCATATTCATCCTTCCCTAATGCTTTCTCACTTTGACCTCATTTTGACAGCATGGTAGCTTAGGATTTGTCTTGAAATTTCAACCAAAACAATCGTTAAATCTAACCAAAATCAAGCTTAGACATGCCGTACTAAATCTTTGTTTGAAGCTTAATGATTTTCTCTTGTTTTGAAATGTCTTAGGTGTTGTTTAAGGTTGAGATTTTGGTTGGACAGAATTTTCTTTCTTTTCTCAATTTTTGGCCGAATTTCTCTATTTTTGAGGATATTTATAGACGTCACAAGCTTACCTTAACCCCCTCCAAATGACCTTATTTTCTGCCACTTAAGGAGACATGTGTCCCTCTTCTTAACTCTTGAATTTCACCTCATGTCAAGTGTCCCTTGTTCTTGATTTTTCTTATGTATTTTGAGCTTAAATTAGGCTTGAACTCTCTTAACAAAAGGGACCTTAGGCTATACAAATTTTACAGGCTTCCTTGGCCCAAATGAAGTCCAAAACTAATTAGAAGGGAAAGAAAAATGTGGCCCAATTACAAATTATCAATTTCTAACCAAAACTTACTATTTTGGTTACTATTTCCAAAAATAGTTTTGGGCTTTCAAAAATTTATTTCGCTCTGTCAAAAATTTCCTTTTAATATAGAAAGGTCCCCTAAATTTTTCTAGAATTTATCTTAATCTTTAACTATTTATTTTAAATTTTCTCAAAAATGAGGCTTTACCAATCAAATTTCAATAATAAATATTCTAAAATTAATTCCTGCACTTTCTGGACCTAGAAATAATTTTATAAACTCAAATAAATTCTTAAATACTTTTTTCATTTTTTTCCAAAATTATTGAGGCCTCTATATATTTAAAATAATTATTTCTAACTAATTTTTTACTGTTTTTTTTTTAAAGAAAACTCTGTTTATAGAAAATTCTATAATAAGTTATTTTTAAGCTATTTCCACCTCCAAAACCTCAAATAAGGTTCCAAAACCTCTAATTTACCTTTTTTTCTATTTTTTAGAATTTTTTTGAATTGTTTTTAAATTTTTTTATTTTGTCCTTTTTAAATTGATGATTTCAAAAATATAAGTCCAGATCCTATTTAGATTTTATGTTATGCATTGCTTCATTAACAAATCTACTTTCCCTATTGGCCATTAACTTAATTTTTTATTCTTATTATCAAGGTTAGATTTTGGAGGATGTAACACATATTTGTTGTCTGGTATATTCGTTGGGCATCTAACTCATCATTGTCCGTCTAATTCTAATTCTGGTTAAAAGGCCTATACTAAATATTCTCTAACGAAGGCCTCTAATGTTTTTACCCAATTCTCTTAATCATGTGCACCGTCAAACATCTTTTGTTAAACCCTCTTTAGTACATGTTCAGAAACGTTACGGTTCAAGTAGATCCCGAAACAAGCCTATAGATTGAAAATTTATATTTCATTACTCGAGTTACTATTCACTAGTAAATTCTAGAATTTCAGTCTAACTTTGAAAAATTATAACTAATATAAAAAAAATCGTATTGAGGTGGTTTAAAATTCTATTTGAAGCTCTTTCAATTTTCTACAAGGAAAAAATATAAATCTTTACTTAAACCTTATAAATTTATACAATTCATTCTTGGAATTTTACTGTTCATTTAGTCAAACCAATGTTTTCCAAATTCTCTATCTTAACTTTAAACAATCATAAATTTTAGCACACATATTCAATTTAAGTGATCTATCAATTTTTTTAAAGCTTAGAATGTGTTTTAGATACTCACCAAATTTCATAGGCAAATTTGTTCATTTGCCTTGCTTTCACTCTGTCAAAAATTTATAGCTCATTTAGGGATAATCTATCACACTTTACTTTTAGACCTCAATTGGAACCATTTGGAACTATCTGTAATGGTTTAAAGTTGAAAAAATTTAAACTTTGAATTTCTTGAAATTTGGGTTACTAATTCATTGTAACACCAATTAGGCCAAAACTTTAAAAAATTATAACTAATTCTAGAAAAATCAAAATGAGATGGTTCCAAATTCTGTGAAAAGCTCTTGACATGCTCTTGAAAGAAAAAGTACTCATTGACATCCAAAAGTCACCAATTAATCTCATATTTTGTTCAAAATATTACTATTCATTTGGTAAATTTTTAATTTTTCAGGATTTATGCCCAACTTTGAAAGAGTATAATTTTCTATATAGAACTTCAAATTTAATGAATTACCACTTGTTTTAAATCTAGAAATGATATCTATAAATATGCCAAATTTTAGTTCCAGACTCATCCAATTGCTCAAATTGTTATTAGTCAAACTTTACCCCAAAAAAGTCAACTTTTATCCCTGTAAGTCACTATTTTTATCTTTCCTTTCCTTTTCAATTCAAATCATCAATTCACTCAACATTTCAATGCTGAAACAAAACTTTTGATCAATTATTGACATACTTATTATCTTTAGTCATTAATACAAATATTCAACATAATTTACAAAAATCCACATTAATCACAAATATTGTTTAAGAGGCATATTAATCAATTTTCTCCCAAAATGGCTTCCTTCCCTTTGTCCTTGCTTAGTCCAACCTCTAGATGGTGAACTTTAAACATAAAAGAGTGATATTTCATAGAATTTTCAGTAGCAAGAAACCATAATCATCATGCAATTCATGCTGTGTAAAAATATGGTATGTGTACATAAAATCAATATCATTATTCAACATTTCATATGCATATCATTTGTCATGAAAAGAAAACAATTTATCAAGCCATTCGTCATACACATTGCCAAGGCACATTCAATATATAATTCCATATATAATCACATATTTGCTCAATCATATCATGGTAACATAAATCACATAACACATATACATTTAAACAATTAAGAAAGCAATTAAATTATGAGTTCAATGCTA